GAAGAGAACCTGAGCACACCATAATCCTGTGAGTCATCTTTGGGTTTATTTTCTGAGGCTGTTGGGAATTATGCATCATTTGGAACTGTAACAGTAAAAGCTTTTACCTGTGTGGAACCTGTATTGCTGGATCTTTAGTTACAGTTTCAGAAAAAATTGCTTGTTGGTAGGAAACCGAGCAAGGTTCCTCTCCAGTAATCCCTGTAAAAGGTAATACAGCTGACTGCAAACCTTTAGTGCAGTTCTGTGAAAACATTTCTTTTATGATGAGTTATGGAAACTTCCTTTGAAGTTCTGGCTTTACCATGTAAAAGGACAGGAGTCCTTAAAGTTCAAGCTAATTGAATAATCCACAGATCTTGTTCTACTTGTGCAAAGCAAGAGGAATGTCATTCAAAGGGCTTAAGTGGAATCAAATTCAGTGTTGTATTTGTTTCAGCTGAAGTCACACCTGCCTTTGTGTAAAGGTTTAGTCATCTCTGCTAAAAGCAGTTCATATGTCTTCTGTCCTCTTCCCTTCCCCACACCTGTCCCCCGCTCCCCACCGCCTTAAAGGTCTGATGCTTGTCTGACTTCCTTCTCCCTCTCCCTCCATTGCCCTTGTCTTCATTTTTAGGATGTTCTTCTTGGAAGGCTACGTCTGTGCCTGTTCTCCAATGCAGGCAAGAAGGTAAATCTCATTACTGCTGGCTGTTTAGAGCTTGACTGCTCTGCAGATATTTCACTGCGTTTTTTGGGTGTATAGTGATTTCAGATCTGTGTTTAAGTTTTCAGAATTAATGAAAAGTATTGCATAGTTTTTCAGACAAGAAAAGGAATGAAATAAAGTCATTTTGAGAAAGCATGCTTAGTTAAGAGCAGTATGTCAAGCAGAAAATGGCATTTGTGGCTGGGTGTACCAGTCATTGGTTCATGCCTTACCCACTTCATCGACTCTCAGAACCAACTTCTCTTTTGCCAGTCTTAATGCTTTTGTGCTGTTCTGTGTGTGTATTGCCTCAGTGTACCAAGCAGTGGTGCATGTCACAGTCCTCCAGGTAGTCAGAGTTCTTACAGGCTGAATCCAGAGAACAGGCTGCCACCCCAGCTGGCCATGGTAGTGATCTGGAACAGAGGTATGGCCGCTGGAGAGTGCAGTAGAAGTCCTGTACAAGGTGCTGAAGGCAATTTTCATGGCGGCTGCTCTCCCAAGTCACGTGTAGCCTTCTAGCAGAAAGCTGTTCCTGCTCTTTCCATCCTCTCCTCTCCATGCTATTTTACAAACTCACTTTTTCTTGCTAACATTCTTTCAGCTGTTAAGTAGACTTACACACCTGCAGTGTGTCTGACTGCATATGGTTTCAGGAGCTGTATTCTTCAGGAATGTTTTCATATTAATAGAAAAATAAACTTTTTTTCATGGCTGATCACAAGGGAAACTTCCACCTAACTCAATTTTAAAGTACAAAACCTACAATGTTCTCACACAATGACTTGGATGTTTGCCCTTCCTGCCTTTCTTACAGTTACTAAACAAAATGAAAACAATAAATTAGCTGTGGCGGTGCCAGGTAGCTGCATCAGAATATCCCATTTAAAAGCTCTGTCACTAAGGCAAGATAGTAGAAAAAAGAAAGTTCTCAGAATCTTTGCTGCACCCTACTTCCTTTAAAGGTATTCCCTCTCAAACTGTAGAACAAGGCAGTGGCTAGACCAAAGAATGTGGCAGGTTTCCAAATAAACTAGGCTGGCAAGAACAGCTTGAGGACTAGCCTAATCCTACTGGATACTACTTTGGCCACAACAATGCATGTCATTATAACCCAGCAACTTCCTTCTTGTTGAAGGCAGGCGGTGTCCTAAGGAAGCAACAGCTAGTTGAGAGAATGTCATTTTAAAGTAATAGTTAAGAATGTTAAGGGATTTCTTAAAGGGTGTGCTGTACTGCTCCAGGACTGTGCCTTCACACTAAAAGAATTAGTATTTCAGGTCATATCAGTAGGAGAAATTTTTACAGTAGCTGCATATGGAACGTGATTAGATAGAACAGTAAATGTAACATTTGGTTCTAAATATAAAGCCCTATTTCTTAATGTCTTGCTATAATAATGTCAAGCGTTTCTGTTTAGAATAAAAAGGTAATAACTTGAAGCTTTTTGTAACAAAAAAGATTTACAGTACAGTACTTCTGAATTATCTAGTGGCAAACAAACTTAAATGTATTTACCTGGGAGGAAAGGGCAAAAAGGACTTTAAAATGTAAATAGTACCTCTCATTTCAGATCCAATTCTCCGCATTATGGTCCTAGAAGGAACAGAATGCCAACAGTAATGGCAGTAAAAGAGAGGTTATGGGCAGCCTGACACTGCAACTCTTTTTAATTCAACAGAAGAAGTAGAAGTTTCCTGCAAATCAGGTTCTCATCTAAATGTATGTGTAGCATACTTTTGTATCAGTGTGTCAGTTTTTAATCTTTCTTTTTTCTTAAGGATTTTTTTCCCCTCTTTACACTAAGTTGTCTAACAGGACCAAACTGCAGCATGTTGCTGTCAGAATTTGTCCTGCTTCTGATCGTTGGCCTTCTCTTAAGGCTGAACAAACCTGGTTCTGTCATCCTCTCAAGGGTGTGGCATGTGCTCCTGTTCCCTGACCACCTTGGCAGCTGTCTGCAAGGCTCCTGCTCCAGCATGTCGGTGGCTTTCTTGTGCTAGGGAACTCTGAAGAGGACACAGTACTCCACCTGCAGTCTCACAAGTGCTGAAAGCAGAAGGTGTCTCACTTTCTTGCACCTGCTTGCTGCTCTGATGGAGCCTGGTATGTGTCTGGTGTTGCCACTGCAAGGTCACTGTGCTGACCTATGTTCAGCCTGTCCACCTGGGCACGCAGGTCTCGCTATGTAAAGCTTTATAGCTAGTTGGCTTCCAACCCATACTGTTGTATGGGGTTATTGCTGCTAAGAAGAACGACTTTGCATTTGTCTTTGTTGAACTTAAGGAGGTTTCCATCAGTCCATGTGTCCATCCCATGCAGTACTGGTCTAGCACTGACAGCTTTCTTTCGTTTTCTTCCCTCTGCCTCTACCTGCCATGTCTGGTAGCTTCTCCCCAGCTTGCCCTTTATCTAATCGGAAACCTCTTCCTAGAGGGAATCAGGTTGGGCAGACATGACTTGCCATTGGTAGACCCACCCTGGCTGTTCCCAGTCACCATCTCCTTCAGGTACCTAGGCATGGAGTTAGGGAGTATCTGTTCTAACCTCTGGGAGTGAGGTCAGGCTCTCCTGTCAGTAGTTCCCTGGATTCTCCTCCCTGAAGGTGGGTGTGACACTTGCCTTTCTCCAGCCATCAGGAACCTCCTGACTCCTGTGACCTTTGCAGTATCATAGGAAGTGGCCTTGTGGTGATATGAGCTAGTGCCCGCAGCAGCACCCTGTCTGGTCCCGTGGAGAGTTGCTTGTGTCTGCAGGGTGAAGTACTCTGTTTTCACCAGGAATTGCCTATGATCTCAGTAAAACAGACACTTGGACTCTGTAAAGTACCATTTAAAATGCTGGTTATTAGACCTAGCACTGTTGGATAAAGGCAAGGCCACACAGGTGGCATAATCTCTAGTCCCAAACAGGAGGTGCCCGGCAGCTCCTCTGGCACCATGCGCTGCCTGAGCTTGTCCTGTGGGCAAGGGATTTACGCAGCGTGAAGGCCACGCGGGGCGTGCACAGCACAGGCCTGCACCTGCTGAGGTTAACAGTGGTGTGGGACGCTGACCCCTCGATCTGTAATGGTCCTTTTCTCAGATCGCGGCACTCCCTGTCCCGTCC